ATTCTAACCTTGGGATAGTCCATTTCCAAAGAATTTGGTCTTTATTTTATACCAGTGCTTTTCAAAGTGTGTTCTCCAGACCAGCAGTATAAGCATCCCCAGAAAACATGTTTCAAATGCACATTCTTTGAGCCCCCATTTCAAACCAACTATCTCAGAAGCCCTGAAAGGGAGGTCAATCTGTTTTCACAAGCACTCTGAACAAATCTTATGTATGCTGAATTTGTCTGTATACACTGCTCTAGATCATGCTGGGATTTATCTAGTTAATCTCATTTGAATATTTGACTACATCTAAAATATCACCTTAATACTAAAGTGATTTACAGAGAGAAATTACTGTATCAAAGTTAATATAAGAGGCAGTGCCAGGAGGAAGGTCACTTTGGGCATCTAAATTTAATATAAATATAATATTGATCTCTAGGAAAGAGTTTAAAATAGGAACACATTCCATCAGACATACTAAAATAAAATCAGATGGTAAAGGAATTCCAAACACACCTGTTCATTCTACTTAGGAAGAAGTTAACAAATTTCCTGCCTCATTAAAATTACCCTTTTCCTCAAGGTATTAACACCATTTTAACAAGTTTGAATTTCCTCACCTTAATAGTTGTAGGGTTTTGCTAACACAAAATCTAGTGATTCATAGTATATACCTGTGGTTCGAGATCAGTATGTAAACTCTTGTTAAACCAATTAAGAATTCTATAACCTTGAAAAAGGTAAATGATTGCCTTATACCCAAGATTTTTTAATCTGAAAAGTGAGATAACAATATATAGCCTCTTTTAAATAATAAGAATTAATGGCACTTGATTTAGAAATACGTTTAACAAAAGAATGTCTCTTGCCTTCAAGTAGTGACGTGGTAGTTCAAACCCACATCAAGTACACTCTAGAAATATGACTGAGTACGTGTGCATTTACTCATGTAAATTCATTGATTTACACTATGATTTCAAATTCGTGTTCACATATAAGAATTGTCTCAAAGATAGAATAAACATCATTCTCAGAAATCATCTAACTACTTTAAAGAGTATGGAGATTTTGTCAAATTTAAGCTTGTATGCATTTATTCTTCCACATAGTGTATCCAGGAAAGATGGTTGAATGAACAATCCACATAATATTTGCACAATTATTAAAACAATATGCACTTTAAACATTCTTTCACCTCTGCATATACTTTAGTGTGTAACATAGAATGGCTTTCATAAAATTTTTAAATTAATTTTTCCAAGGATCATATGGAAATAGTAAACATTTCTGCTGGTTACATCAACTAATTCAGAAGAATTCAACAAATAGTGAGCTACGCGAATATATTATTTTAGACAGACCTAATACAATTGTAACTAAGCTGATTTGACTTAACCTTAAGTATTACAGAATCTTTTAAAAGCCAGTCCCCTTCCTGCTGTTTTACACTTTAATTACTTCTTTAATCGACTCATTAGTTGATTAACTTATCACTACTGGTAATAAGTACCTGTTCTAAGTAGGGGGGGAGATAATTGAAGCAGTGGTCTCTGAATGCTTCCTGGCTGCAGCCCAGAAGCTGGTTACTCAATTTTTGGGGTGGCTATGGGACTTCAAAACCCATACATTAAATATCCAAAAAGCAAAATTATACCACTGCCATTATGTATTAAATAATTTCCAAGTAAATTGCACTAAATCATTATTACCTCTGATGCTTGGTTGATCTTTTCCTTTCCCAGTTTTAAAACCATCTAAGACATAAATCTTGAATTCAGAAAAAAAGTGCCTTACCAGCTAATGGCAGCTGCCAACCACTGTGTTCGCACCGTGTATAAACACCACACATGATCCTGTGTGCATAAAGAGATGTGGCATTTAAGAAGACAAAGGATAACAATATTCTGGAATTTAGTGTACAAAAATCTATTCTAACTATTTTCATGTACTGTGAGAATACTGGGGGTCATGCAGAAGTTCTGAAGCTTATATTAAGAATCATACCTAAAGCATTCATAATTCCCTTATGCACCTCCACCATATTTCCGCCATATATTTTACAAGTCTAACAAAGAGATAATAGTGGCATTGCATAATGAGGAAGCCATTTATCAAGGGATGATGTTCTCATAACTCTTTAGGTGAAAGATTTAGGTTTTACTGGATACTTAACAGCAATTAATGGAGGTTTAAAGGTCAAGAAGACGGAAGACAAACTGACAAATCGAGCACTGCCAAGATCCCTTTATTAAAAAGGGAGAATTCCTCCCTTACCCCAGGAATCTTGCTTCAGGTAACCAGAAGCAACTTTTCTCAGGTAGCATCCTTCAGATTGCTACAGAATAGGAGCCCCTACCTTCGCTTCCCTTTGGAAGTAGTTTTGATTGAAATTTAATGAGGCAAAAACAAAGTGCTAATAAACAAGTATTGAAGTAATTAACGAACAATAATCTTTATACCTTCTACTCTATTTAATTTAAGGACTTGGTGCCGCTATAATGAAGCCATGGAGGTAACTATGAGTGTTCAAATGACATAACCTGAGGCAGTGATGGGAAGTATTCCCAGTTCTCTAACATGGAAGTGATCTGGAAGGAGAATGGGGGCAGCTCCTGATGCCATTCAGCTAGAATCATGAGAGCCATACTGACTGCCTCCCCAGTTAACGTAGTGGCAAAATGCCATATATCAAGAATCTACTAAATATGTGGAACACTACTAGGCACTTTGAATACATTTTCTTACTTCAGCCTCAAAGGAATGCTGAAATTTCTACATTATCTGAATCTCAGGGTAATAAAGTACCTTAGGATCATACTGTTATTAAGAGGTGCAATAGAGATGGACTAGTTAAGATTTTTGAATCCAATACCCAAGTCATTTTTACTATTCTACTCTTGTTTTTGCGAAAGATACAGAAGCGCTCATTTACCATTTTAAATACATTTCAGCATGTTTTATGGAAACAACAAAAGGCTGGTAGAAAAAAATATTCTAGTTTCATGTTTCATTTTTGCAGGTGTGATGATAAAGAAACTATAATCTGGTCTTTTGTTTTCAGGATATAATGTAAATGTAATAGAATAGCATCTATATACTGCTGTTGGTTTGAAATACCTGCTTATATTCTCATTTCTATATAGGATAAATATAGAGGCAAACTGGAAATACAAAGCATACAATGTCATATTTTTTATGTTAAAATAATGCATTCCTATTTAAAATCATTTTATTCTTTAACAATAATCATTACCGTCTTGGTATACAAGCATTGTTTTAGAAACTAGACATGCAGTGGTGAATAAGATGTAGAATTTTGCTTTTGTTATGTTTATTCTACAGATCCTTGGATTAGGAGGAGGTTTAAAAGAAAAGAAAGGTGAGCAATAAGCAGAGACACAAAAATAATTTCAGACAGTGACAAATTACACATGGTTATGGAAATCTTCAAGCAAGTAGCATTTCAAGAGAAATCTGCATATTGATGGAGGTGGTCATGTGAAGTGATGGATTAATCTGAATATAGAACCATTTAGGAGCATTCCAGACAGAGGGAAGAATAAATAAAAAGGGCTTGCAACTGGAAAGAGTTGGGATGTATGAGGAACATTGAGAGAACCACTGGTGAGAATATAGAGAACAATATCACCTATCTAAATATTGTGTGGAAATGGTAAATTTCTCTCTGCCATTTCTATGTGGCTTCCTGTTCTTTGGTAGTACCATTACAATTCTAATACGTGATTTATTAATTCATATATCTGAGAATCACGTTTATAGCTAAGTGATTCATCCTATAACATAAAGAAATATAAAATTTAAGCTTACTTGTTAAGAGAAGGTCCATCTTAGATAAAGGGAGAAGTTAAAAACTGATTCAAATACCTGTGAAATTATGTGTATGTGCACCTTACAGAATCTTCAGAGAAAGAAAAGACAGAGAAAAATATTACTATTCTAATTATGAATTAGAAATTTACCAGGCTTATTCTGCATGAAAAGTTACACTATTTGCTGAATCAAAAGTAAGGCACTGGTAGAATTATTTTAAAAATTCACAGAACATAACCTTAAAATGGTTTTCCAAAATATTGAATTTGATGAGCAGGAGCTCAAGGAAACATCTTTAAAAGCAATTCTAAAGGAAATTAGAACTGGCTTAGTAAACATTTTCATTAGCTCCATAGATTTCCCTAAGGACTCAAAGTGGCCAAGCTGTACCTCTATTTTATTTTCATTTTTCTTCCCAACTCACTTAGGATGGAATAAACTTTTAACCAACAGGAAAAAATGTACAAATTAATTAATCCAAAGTCATTATAAATCAGATTTTGTTATTAGTTTCCAAATGTTCTTAGATTTATTTCAATTATTAAGTAATACTTTCTTTTTTTTAATATAAAAATAGTTACTGAGGTTAGAATTTGAATACAAAAGCAAATCAAACCAAGTTTTTTTTTTTTAAAATCAAGACTGTTATTTTCCTGAATTAGGTAGTAAATTGCAAAATCAAATAAGTTATTAAAAAATGGATGGACATTAACACCATATGTTTGTATATGTGTATATATGTATAAAATATTTGCATACATATATAATACTGTGACACTCTCTCTATATATAATATTATATATGTATCTAACACTGTATGTGCATTTAAGATAACATTATATTATAACATGTTTATTATATATTAACTAAATATATAAACACACACATATATACATGCATACATGTGTAAAAGAGCAACTAATTAAAGAAATAATTTCAGGAACCTGTTTTCGCATGGTATCAATATGACAAAAAAAGATGTAGGTAATTATACTTTTGTAAGTAGTATAAAATAGATATTTTTAATTTGCTATTTTTTATGAACCCAGAAAATTAACAATTGAGTCTCAAAATTTGCAAATTATTAAGGTATTTCACCCACTAAGTCTTAATTCAGACATACCTTCTCAGCAATTTTGACCAGCCATCCAGTTTCAGGATCATTTTCTAAGTGAAAAGAAACAGCTGCCTTCCTTCTAGTTTTGCCACATGACTTCTACAACAGGAAGGCAGACTTTGTGCCTCCTAATGTGGTTAGCAATTCACTATTTTTAATATCGAAACTAATGAGGATTCTATAATCTAGTTTCCATTCCTTTAACAATGTCTGTTCTAAATTTTATTCTCTGAGTCTACCTAAAATAATTTAAAGCAATACTAGCTTTATTCTTCAATTTAGCTCTGGGAAGAAATAAGAGACACTTGAATTTGTTTGGGATTACTACTTGGAGGTTATGGTTATATTTTCTCTTCTTCTCAATAAGACCCAAATTGGCAATACCTCTTTACTTTCTTGTTAGGCTCAGTCTCTTTTCACTTTCCCCTGAAGTCTAAGATCTTTCTTGACTTAGACGACCTCCAGTCTCTGGATGAAGTTCTGTACAATTTTTGTGTTAGTGCCATGTAAACATTTGACAGGAGGGAGACATAAAGTCCACTAACCACACTAAAGGTTTCCTGTTGAGCTGCAAATGGTCTTGAGAGAGCCACGGCCGGCCTTGCCTAAGTCAGTGGTAGCAGCAGCTTGGCTTGTCCTCGGTTACTTGTGCTCAAAACTGACTATGTTGCTTAGAAAGGAGAAAAAAGATAGAGTTAAAGTCTTACAAAAATAAGTGACTTTCTTTTTTTCATTTTGAAAAATAGCAAAGGATGTTAGCCCTTATATTTGTTAAATTTTAACATGAGATGAAATAATTTTGGTTGGGGTTGTTACTTGGTGTGTTTTTAATTTTTATTATTATTCTTTTTTTGTTGTTTCACTTTTGTTTTTTGTTTGTTTTCATTAGACAGAAGTCCAAATCTGGCAATACCTATTTACTCTCAATTTGATGGCTGAACATCTTGCTTTAGAAATAGTAAATGTGTAAAAATATATGGAAAATACTATAGAAGATGTACATCAATAAATCCCCCAAACAAATGTGGACAGATGTCAGCATTTTTGCCATATTTGTTTCACGTTAGTCCCTCTTTCTTCTCCCTCTTCTCTATCTCTAAAATAAATAAATAAATAAACTATAAACAGAAATTCAGCCAAATTTCCTTGTATCCCAATTCTTTCTTCACCTGACCTTCTCAGAGGTAAATGGTACTGACATGGGTATGTTCCATTCATTCATGTCTCATATTTCAATACATATGTTTTGAAAAATAAGCAAGATGAAGCATTGACATTTTCTCATTAAATGTATATAATTCCTTTCATAAATTTTTTATATCCCTCAAGTTTTGAGTCATGTGTTTATTCTGTTGATTTGGTTAATTTTAACAGTCATATAATATTCCATTAAGTGAAAAGGCACAATATTAAATCAAGCTCTTTTTACTGATTATTGAAATTCATAAAATATGTTCTTAAAAATTGAATAAGAATAAATAGAAAAGAGCAAAGGGAATTCAGTATCTAGTTTAGTCACTTTAATAATAACCCTTCAGCAAATATATTTTTAATTTTCCTAATTTAAGACACTGTAGGAGCATATAAATTCCCACTTTTAAAGTGTATTTTTATTTTGATTGTTATTTATACTCACCATTTTAGTATTTACTTTGCTTGAAAGAGATTCCTTAAAATCATTCCTGGTTTGTGGTTCTGGAACCTCTCCAACTGTATTTCATATGATAGGCATTTTTGTCCTTTTTATGCAAAAGTTGAGTCAGAAGCCATTAGCAATTTACTCTAAATGGAATAACCACAAACCATAACTAATATTAATGTAAACATATAAATACTCTTTACTTAAAAGAATCTTGCCTGAACATTCCCCTAGTGGACTTAATATTTTAATGCAATTCTACATGTACCATAAAATCAATGGGAAAGAGTCTTTTTTGAGTCAGGGTCACTTGAATTCAAAACTTTGATCTACAGCTTATGAAAATTTTACTTTGGACAGGTTACTTATTTTTTTTAATCCCCCTAAACTGAATTCTCCCTATTTCCAAGTAAGAATATTGAATATCTCATATGTATAATTTTAAAATTCAGAATTACCATATGAGATAGTAATTATCATCATTATTTTTAAACTTTGATGAGAATACTGAAATTCATAAGATTAAGCATTTGGCTGTAAATCTCATAGCCAGTAAATGGTGGGATAGTATTCAAACTGATATTTTGGATTTATGCAAATTATATTTTCATGTCTGTAATGGGATTAAAGGTGTCCCTAATATTCATGCCTATCAGGGACTTCAGAATATGACTCCACTTGGTTATAAAGATAGTAATGTTGCAGATAGTTAAAATCTAGCAATAACATTATTCTATACTTAACAAGAGGTATTAATCCATATAGAATTGCATCCTTAAAGAAAGAATGTGGGTATACAGAGAGAAGAAGGCTACATGGACATGGAATTACAAACTAGAATTAAGATTCCACAGGCCATGAAATATCAAGAGCCCCTAGAAGCAGGAAGAGTCAAAGAAAAATTATTCTGTTTAGCCTTGGAGAACATGGCCCTAAATGTATCTTGATTTTATAAGTCTGTACTGCAGAACTGTGAGTGAATAAATGACACTTTTCAACCATCCAATTTGAGATAATTTGTTACAGCAACTCAAATAAACTAATATGATATCATAATGTCTTTTAATAAAGATTTTTTTATTTGATCTTTTTATATATACATGATAGTAGAATGTATTTTGATGTACATACATGGAGTAGAACTTATTCTAATTAGGATCCCATTCTGTAGTTGTACATGATGTGGAGTTACACTGGTTGTATATTTATGTATGAACATAGAAAAAGGTATGTCTGATTAATTCTACCAACTTTAATATTCCCATCCTACCTCCATTCCCTTTTGTCTAATCCAATCAACTTCTATTCTCTACATCCATGCCTTTTATTTTATGTTAGTGTCCACATATCAGAGAAAACATTGAGCCTTTGTTTTTTGTGGGACTGACTTATTTCACCTAACGTGATAGTGTCCAGTTCCATCTATTTACCAGTGCATATCATGATCTCATTCTTCTTTACAGCTAAATCATATTCCATGTGTATATATACCATATTTTCTCAATCCATTCATCTGTTGAAGTGTACCTAGTTTGGTTCCACAGGTTAGCTATTGTAAATTGAGTGGCTATAAACATTGTTGTGACCATGTTACTGTAGTATGCTGATTTTAAGTCTTGGGTATAAGCCAAGAAGTGGGATAACTGGGTCAAGTGCTCATTTTATTCTAGGTTTTCTTAGGAATCAACATACTGCTTTCCATATTTGCCATCCCACCAGAGATGTGTGAGTATATCTTTTTTCCCACATTCTCATCAACACTTATTGTTATTTGTATTGTTGATAATTACCATTCTACCAGAGTGAGATGGAAACTCCATGTAGTTTTAAGAGTGAAATGGAAAATCATATACAGGAAGTATACAGGATCCCAAATATACAAAATTAAAACAGACCCACACCAAGACACATTGTTATGAAAATGCCTAATAGATAAGGGTAGAATTTTAAAGGCTGCCAGAGAAAACAAAAAGGTGGGTTACCATTATAAGGAAACCAATCCAGATCTCAGTTGATTTCCCAACTCAGACCTTCAATGCTTGGAGATCTGGGAATATATATCAAGATCGGGAAAAAAAGAAAAACAAAACAAAACAGAAAAAGATGCCAACCAAGAAAATTATACCCAGCTTCTGAATTGATGATGAAACAAAATATTCCATGATAAACAAAAGGTAAAATAATTCACAACAAGAAATACTACACTAGAAAACATAATTTAATATTTCATGAAGAAGATATAAAAAATAAAAGTGAAAACCAGCAAAGGGAGGAACTATATTAGAAGAATAGACACCATAGCTGTATGGTGTGCTTGATATCTAGACACAGTATTAAACAGAGTCCTTTTTATAGGACCAGGTCTTTAGTACCATTCCATGCTGTGAGAAATTTACTGAAAATAATGAAGTCATATGGACTCATGTTATTGTAATTGTGAATAAAAAGTAAAGAAAGGCAACCTTCCCCCCCAAAAGCACTACACTTTTTCACAGAATTACCTTTATATACCCACTTAACATTTTGAGAGTAAGAAAAGTTCCCTGGTTGATTCTATCAACACAGTGAATATTCATAATGATATGTGGAAGGAAAAGTATATTTTTATAATAACTTGGAAGAAAGAAAAATGCTTTAAAGTATATTCATTAAATTATAAATAGAAAACAGGATGGACTTCAGAAAGAATTGTAAATCCTAGAATTCAAATGTATTCATTTAAATGATGAAAACAGAAACAGCAAGAGATTTGTGGTTATGTAGAGATTAAAGAGCATTATTAGCCATAAACTGAATAAAATTTTAACTGTTTTATTTAATATATTATTCACATAACATACATCCAAACTATTTAAAGTATATCACCATAATTTTTTGCATATTATTGTTTAATTATTTATTTTTTAATATTTTTACTTTGTTATATATGACAGCAGAATGCATTACAATTCATATTATAAAAATAGAGCACTATTTTCCATATCTTTGATTATACACAAAGTAGAAACACAACATTTGTGTTTTCATATATATACTTACAGTAATGATTTCCATCTCATTCCACCATCTTTTATACCCCCATGTGCCCTCCTTTCCCTTCCCTCCCCTTTGCCCTATCTACAGTTCTTCTACTCCTCCCAAGCTCCCCCATCCCACTATGAATCAGCATCCTTAAATCACTGCAGCATTTGGTTTGGGGCAGTGGCTAACTCCACTTAGTATTATATTCTCCAACACCATCCATTTACCTACAAATGCCATGATTTTATTATCTCTTAATGCTGAATAATATCCCATTGTGTATGCTGTTTTTAAGTCCTTTGGGTATTGACGGAGGAGAGGGATAGCTAGGTCAAAGGGTGGTTCCCTTCCCATTTTTCCAAGGATTCTCCATACTGATTTCCATATTGGCTGCACCAATTTGC